GGGGGGAGGGGGTTTGTAGGCGCGTGTAATACGCACCCTTATCATAGCCCAAGCAGCTGTGCAAGGGGCCACTGACTAATAAGGGGTAAACCATAACTGGAAAAACATACGGGCTGTCCGTGCGAAGATGCGTTTTTTGCATAGCTATACTATACACAAGTTTATTCTCGCATTCCGAGGATGAAACGGGTGGGACAGCACTGAGGGAGGCAGAATCAAGGTGCACCCACCATAGGCGGATCCAGGGTATACTCCTGGGGAGGAGGGTAACGGGTCTTTGCAACACCTTCGAGGGAGGGGGAAAAAGACCCTTCGCCCCCGCTTCCACCTGCCCTGGATCCGCCTGTGGCAACGACTGTAGATTATTCCCGCACGTGCAACCCGTCAGCTGGCGACTTTTCTAGACCTCCTTCCTTACCCTCACTAGAAACCCTGGAATTGCATGCTGCGAGTTGCCACTTTTCCAGCGAAATGCTTCGCGCTGATCTCGCAACAGATGGGATGATTGGCATCGATTTCCCAGTAGGCCGTGTCCATCTGACTCGACGACGACCGAGAGGCAGTCCTGGGAAGCGAAACCATCCAGGAGACCGACAGTGAAATTATCCAGGCATGACTGATCGTGTTGCTATCCGGAACAGCGACAGCAGCACAGTCATCCGCAAAGGATCATCAGCCTGCAGACATAAACAGCCTCAACGGATACCGAAACGGCACCGGCGATCCGTCCCGATTCGCCTCGCACTCATTTGCTGACCTCTTATTCTGGGATGACCGCTCATTGGGCACTCACGGGTTCGGGTTCAAATAGCAGAAGCCGTGGTACCAGGTGCTTTCTGTTTAAGTAAGGTTCCGGGTGTTACATCCAGGACTGTTAACTTCTTCCCGGCACTAATTGTCATACTGAGCATAAACAACCATCCACACCGACCTTACCCGGCCTGGTGAAAAACCCGGGGAGTCATTCCACACAAACTCCGCCCCTGAGCCTTCATCAAGGCTCCAGCTCCTCTCCAGTCTATAAACCCTCCCCCTCCTCTCCCGTCACCACTCCGAGGCCCAAACCACCACTCCCCTTGCCCCTTCCCAGTTCCCGGAGTCGCACCCGCATTCCTTACCAAATCATCGCAACCCGACTCTCAACCTGGATGAATCAAGACCGAGTCAGTTGTAGTGGTTGCCAAGTTGAGTTTGCCAAACGTAGCAGCAGTGGTCGCAGCGTGGGCATTACCGTCAACGGGATAATGGTGGCGTTGGATTCCCCTGCCGCGTGGCATTTGCTGCCACGTGGCGGTGCTTCCGATACCCAAATGTTGCCCTCAGTGGCGTGCGTGACCCTCTCGTGCTGGTAGCGAAGAGGAGCAAGGGATCTGCTGCTGCGGGCTGTGTTCCTTGGCCAAAGCCGTGTATCCTGGGTGCTGCAGCGTCCGCCCTGAGATTCACGTGGATGCAGTTGCGTGGGCGGTACTGCTACGAGAGGTCGCTGTTGTGCACTGCCGGTGAACTGGAGATCCGTTGCTCGAAGAGGAGCTGCTTCGATTGCTCCGCGTGGAGACGACGACGGCCAGGGCCCACGCAAACGTCGCGCTGCTGGGCCTGAAGTATGTGTTCCACAGCTGCTGCTTTTCAGCCTCAGTGCGCGCGATGTCCGTGCCGTACTCCTCAGACCGAAGCAGCGGCATGGTAGTGCTGGCTGGGAACTCACATCCGGAGCTGGCTCGCCTTGTCACCGAGTAAGTGCTCACCTTCTCTCCGTTCTCTCTCCCCCTCTCTGTTTTCTCTTTCTCTCGCATACCCGTCTTGCAAATTAGTCACATGACTCTGTTCAGTACTTGACAGGTTGGTGACTGTACTGATGATTCCTGCTTCTACTCGCATGCAAAGTTTGATATGTTTACAGCTAAGGGATGAAACACAGAGTGCATCCTAAAATTTCTTCTTACACATGCGACACTTAAGTCCAATCCATCTATTCTACTATTTCGTGATTTATCAAATTTGCATCTCTCTCTCTCTCTCTCTCTCTCTCTCTGTCTCTTTGCCTCGTGCAATTACAGTGCGTCCTGGGACATATTAGCAGTTGGCGAGGAACGTGAGTGGTTCTTTTGAGCGATTAACGAGTTTCTACGTTCGAGCACGTTGCTCCTGACTTGATAGCTTGTGCAGTGGCTGTCTGCTGCGATTAAATGGGCAGCGGGGACTCCGAGATTAGTCAGTTGCCTGTTGATTGAGAGCTACAAAGTGGAGAAGCTGAAGATCAAGTGATGTCCTCCGTTTTTCTAAGGTACTTATTAACCGCCACCATTGCCGAGACACTTTTTTCAGCAGGTTGGGTGTGAAGTTGGGCGAAGTGATTGTTTACAACAAGACGAATCGTGAGACATCAGTGGAAATCAAGCACAGTGTTCGCGCGAAGCATGTCTTCATTCTACAGTCCGGTTGCAAGTAACTACCATTTTTGCTTAACTACTACTACTACTACTAAAGCGGATAGTTTTCATCCCACGCTACGATCGATTTTGGAACTGAACTTGCAGTATTAGCATTGTTACTTCTGACTTCGGCCGCTTCACATTTTGTTTTCTTTGGATCGACCATTTGTTTTAAGATTACTATTCGACCTTCTAACACCTTCTAACAACTACTGCAATTTATTACTACAACTTCTAAC